CAGCCGCCGCGCGGGCACAGTTGGAGGGGTTGAGGCCTGGGAGGGTTTGACAAGTGTGCTCGCGGGATCAGCGCAGGGAGGCGGCAGTAGGGACTTTAGCAAGGAGGTGGATGAGGGAATGGAACATGGATCTGAGGGGGGTTGGTACCAGGGCAGGTGTTCCTGTGGTATCTATTAGCCTTGTATACACCTATGACCATGCCTACATGAGGCAGTCTTCTGCCTGGTTGAGTCAAATACCCTTAATTGACAAGTGTGCTCGCGGGATCAGCGCAGGGAGGCGGCAGTAGGGACTTTAGCAAGGAGGTGGATGAGGGAATGGAACATGGATCTGAGGGGGGTTGGTACCAGGGCAGGTGTTCCTGTGGTATCTATTAGCCTTGTATACACCTATGACCATGCCTACATGAGGCAGTCTTCTGCCTGGTTGAGTCAAATACCCTTAAGTATTTAAAGCATTTAAAATTAAATGTTAGGGGACAGGTTCTTCTTTGTATGTGGTAGATACTGACAGTCTCTAAATTTCACTCATCAACAAGAGCTGATGTCTTGATTTGGAGGAAATTGTTAGTTTTCAAATATTTGATTGACACACAGTAAAATATGTACCAGAAAACTATTATAAATGTTCCTTTTTTGTATTCACTTATAAAGGGATTTTCTGTGCAAATACCTGAACTGAGAGTAGATGTCTCAGAGGGGATAGCCATGTTAGTCTAGAACTTTAAAAAGCAACATGTAGTCTTGTACACCTTAAAAACTAATAAATATATGGCTTGGCTCTCTCTAGTCCGGCACCCTCTGGTCCTGACCTTTCCCAAATGAGGGAAATTACTGGATCAGAGGAGGTCCCTTGCCACCAGCCTCCTGGGACACCACCGCTCCCTCCATCTCTGCTGCTATAGGGTTTGGGTTTGGCACTGGCCTGCTTTTGCCAGCTGGCTGAGGCTCTCTGGGGATGGAGCTCCCAAGCTGTTGCTGCCCTGCTTCAGTTAGCCCCAGGGCTGGCCAGTTTCAATGGTGGGGGGCTCTGCTGTGCTGCTTGACTCACAACTGGTTTGCACTCCTGGGCAATGGCGCTCTCTGGTCCAGCAACATGTATGATCCTGTTGGACTACAGATGTTGTTGGACCAGGGAGTCCCGGATCTAGGAGGTTCAATGTGTAGTATTGTGACTTTTTATGAGCAAAACCCACTTCCTCAGATCAGAGTGAAGAAAAAGGGGAGACTGTCACAATTTATAAACAGAAAAAAGAAGGGAGAGGGAGTGGGGGGAAAAAAAGTAATAGAAGTGTAGCCATGTTAGTCTGGTGTAGCTGAAGCAAAATACAGGACTATGTAGCACTTTAAAGACTAACAAGACATAGCCCTTAGTCTGTAACTGGAAAAGCTTAAACAAATAGTCTAGCTTAACCTTAAAGACCATCTACATGTTTTGTTAGTCTTTAAGGTGCTGCTAGACTATTCATTGTCTTTTAAATTTGCCCACTCAATTAGCCGCAGCAGCAACATCATAATTGACAGGTACTTTCCCCTCCCCTTCTGGTATAAATTGTGAGGTTCCCACTTTTTTCTCCACTTTGCTCATCTGAGGAAGTTTGTGATACTAATATAAATTAAGGCTGTCAAATGACCTGCATTAATGCCTGCAATTAACATGGGACAGGATTAATGTGATAAGTTTAACACATATAATGGCAGGTGTTAGTGCTGTACTGCTCCTTTGAAGTGTTGCTACAGTGCTTTAAAGGGGTAGCACAAGCAGAACTGGGGATCAGCTGGAGTTCCCAGCTGATCCCCGGCTCTGCATTGCAAAGCCCTTTTGGAACACTGCAGCGGCATTTCAATGGGGCAGCACTGCATGGATCCAGGGATCAGCTGGGGACTCCAGCTGTTCCCAGGCTCCATGCAGTGCTGCCCTGTTGAAACGCCGCTGTGGCATTTTAACGGGGAGACACATTTAATTGTGATTAAATTTTTAATCGTTTGACAGCCCTAATTATTTTTTATATAAACGTTGGTCTCTAAGGTGCAACAGGACAACTTGTTTGAGAATAGATGTGTTTAAATCATTGCTGTTTCATAGATATCCATGGTGACGTTTGCCTAGCTGAAACAGCTTTTATTAAAGAAAATTTTGAATTATAGAGGTTAGTCCTGTATTTTGTGCAAAACAAAGATTATTCCTATCCCCTCTTTACTTGAGATTCATCAGTTTTTTAGCCCAGTCCTGCAACCTAAGTATCTGAATGGAGTTTCCTGGGGTCTGCTCTGACCCCAGTTATTCAAACAGGTCCCTTTGAGTAATTTTTCTCTTTCTTTTGAAGTAAGCAGTCACGTTCAGTTTTTTACTGGGGAAAATTGTTTTAAATTGGTAGTTGAAATCATTCTTTTTTTAAAAAGTGATTTAAGTCATCCAACAGGACACATTGATTTAAATGAATTTTAATAAAGGTTTGCATTTGTACTTAGTTTTTTTGAATGAAAAAATTGGCTCAACCATTAAAACGTGTTAATTTTCAGCTAAATTAAATCTTTATACTAAAGTTAGTGCCCCTCTCTGCTGACCAGAAGAATACAATCCAGCTATGCATATTTCTATGTAAGCAAATGTATAGCTATATATGTATCTATTCAGATACACTTTTAACCTTATGTTAATGGTAATTACTGTTACTTATTTGTCTTGAAATTTGTGTTATGCTTTTTTTTGGGATGGAAATTAAAATTCAATTAACAGCATAAAACCAGCATTTAAAAATAGTAACTTAAAAGCTTTAGATAAAAAAAATTGTTTAGCAAAACATGTTCTGCATTAAAACTTTATCTGAACTATTTAACTATAATTAGTTGATTTGACTGATAGTGACCAGAAACTATGCTCATCAGGCTTTTAGAACTGGAAGATGTCATCCTCTCACTTAGTTTGTCACAGATTAGGAGAGCTTGTGTGTTTGCACTTTCAACTTCCACTGGTTTTTTGACTTCAGATGAGTCTTGTGGATAAGGGAGAAGCAGTGGATGTAGTATACCTATACTTTAGTAAGTCATTTGATACGGTCTCTCATGGTGGTCTTATAAATAAATTAGGCTAATACAACTTATTTGGGGCTACTATAAGGTGCATGAATCACTGGCCGGATAACCATTCTCAGAGAGTAGTTCACAATCTTGCTGGAAGGGCACAACAAGTGGGTTTCCAGAGGGGTCTGTTTTGGGACTGGTTCTGTTCAATATCTTCAACTATTTAATATTAGTATAGAGAGTATGCTTATTAAGTTTGCAGAAGATATGAAGCTGGGAGGGGCTGCAAGGGCTTTGGAGGATAGGGTCATAATTCAAAATGATCTGGACAAACTGGAGAAATGGTCTGAGGTAAATAGGATGAAGTTTAATAAGGACACATGCAAAGTACTTCACTTAGGAAGGAACAATCAGTTTCACACATACAGAATGGGAAGTGTCTCTTCTAGGAAGGAGTACTGCAGAAAGGGATCTAGGGATTATAGTGGCTCACAAGCTAAATATGAGACAAAAGTGTGAGGCTGTTGCCAAAAAAAAAGCCAATATGATTCTGGGATGCATTAATAGTAGTGTTGTGAGCAAGACACGAGATCTATTCTGCACTGATCAGGCCTCAATTGGAGTATTGTTTCCAGTTCTGGGCACCACATTTCAAGAAAGATGGAGAAATTGGAGACTGTCTAGAGAAGAGCAACAAGACTGATTAAAAGTCTAGAGAACATGACCTGTGAAGGAAGACTGAAAGAATTGGGCTTGTTTAGTTTGGAAAGGAGAAGACACAGGAGACATAATGATTTTCAGGTATCTAAAAGGGTGTCACGAGGAGGAGGGAGAAAAAAATTGTTCTCTTTGGCCTCTGATGATAGGGCAAGAAGCAATTACCTTAAACTTCAGCAAGGGAGGTTTAGGCTGGACATTAGAAAAATACTTCCTAATGGTCCGTGTGTTTAAACACTGGAATAAATTGTCTAAGGAGGTTTTGGAATCTCTTTCTCTGGAGATATTTAAGAGCAGGTTAGATAGACCATCCCTGGGAGATGTCTAGACAGTACTGGGCCCTGCCATGAAGTCAGGGGACTGGGCTATGACCTCTCAAGTCCCTTCCAGTTCTAGTGTTCTATGATTCTGTGAAATAAAGTAACGATTGAACTGAACTAGTTAAATACACAGAAATTAAGAAAATATTCTATGCACCTTAAGAGGAGGCTACTGCTATCAAAAGCTGGTTTAGTACTTTAACAAATTCAATTCCAGGAGCTAACTTCGTGACTGCTACCCATTCAGGGTTTGACTTCCCTTACAACATATAGGCTGTGTCTA